TTGGCGTTGGTCTACTGTGATTTTGTATGCTCAGTGTCCTGTATGCATCTACAATTTGTAGATTGTTTTTTTTATTCTCTAGAAATGTTTTTATGGTTATTTTTAAATACCTTCATACTTCTCACATTCATCTACTCATTTACTTATTAATTGATGCACACAGCAAGTATTTATATATTGACTGTGGTACTGCCACTGTGAAATTTAGATATTCAGCCATGATTACACCATTATTTCTATCCTCATAGAGCTATGAAATCTTCATGTTAACATGAAGAAACTTTTGTGGCAATAAAACCTTCCTAGAAGAAGTGACTTTTAATTCAATATTTAACATAAGAGCTAAATAGTCAAGAATGGATTGGAAGGAGAGAGACAGAGAGACTTCTAAGCAGAAGAAATAATGTGTGCAAAGTTTGTAAGACAAGAGGAGCAAGGATTGGTCTCAATTAAAATTACTTTCAACTCACAAAAACTACTGGATAATAAAAATAGGATTATTACTTATTAAACATTCAAATATTTAAATTGTTTTTGTGGATCTCACTAATGTGGCTTCTTAAAGTACTTCAGCAAGAGGATAATATTATCCATGCTATCTACAATAGCCCAAAATTTCCTGAAATTCTTGAAGGAATTTGAGATGAGGACATTCAGCAAGAATCATGTCGAATTTTTCTATAGACTTGTGTATCAAAGGAAACTGTAGAATTTGATTTAGAGGCTCAGAATTTAAATGTTTACCTCTGTTCTTTTTTAAAGTTCAGGGGCTTGCAAGATGAATATTTAATACTTTATAGCTCTGAAATTTTAACCATATTTAAATATATAGAAGTATTCAAATATAAGTATTGTACTTATTTAAATAAATACAAGTTACAAATTATAACTTGTACCATATTTTATTAAAATAAATATAAGTACAATCTAAATTTATGTCAATGAACAGTATCTATTTTGCTTCATTAGAAAATACAAGTACCTCCAAAGAGCATTGAAGAATTCTTAAAGCTTCAAAATTGGGTGAGTGGAACATTCTGCTTTATGTGCCAATGTATCTTTCTTTTATAGTTTAAATTTTAAATTTACATTTGTAATAATATTGTCTCATTTGGAAATAATTACATCATATTTTATCTGTGTTTATGTTATATATTATGCACAATTATATATATAT